CCCCCGTTGGCACTCTCCTCCACTTTCAGTGATGTGATGGCTTTACAACTTTAAAGGCCGGACGCGCAGCCTGAACAGTTTCTGCGGCGCATTCCCCACAGCGTTTGGTGTTGAGCTGTTATGTTAGTGCCTCGTCCCCGAGCACAGTGGCAGGAGGCGTGTGCTGGGACGAGGTGCGCAGTGGCCATTTTGCCAGCCTCTGTCCTGGGGCTGCAAACCTCCGGGGCACAGGCGAGAGTGAGACGTGGTGCAGTTGTCAGGTGGCTGAGTTTGGAGCTTTACACTTGTTAGTTAACATGACTGCGTTGTGGGCCTGTGTCATTGAATTTTTAATCATGGCTGTGTTTGACAGCTGACTTGGAGATTTCCTGAAAACATCCCTGTCAGCGGTCAGATACCTGTACAGCCCCTCTTGCAGGCTGCCTGGTGGGTACTGTCTCCTGGTGCAGACACAGGTGCCTCCCCTTGCCCGTTTGTTCAGGGACCTCTCATTTCCCTGGCCTCCTCACATCTGTCCTGTCCCCAAAGCCTGTCCTGTCTCCCCACGGTAATGCACTGTCTCAGGGACACTGAGGCTCAGATTGACCTAAGTCTTTGTGGTGTGTGGTGGGGTTCAAACCCAGATTTCCTGGGGCCCAGTCTTATGCTCCTTGCTCTGTCCCTTCCCAGCCGGGCTGTGAGAGAGGCCACCCACCTGGCTGGAGAGTGGGTGGAGTGGGTGGGCGAGACCGTGGCTCGTGGGGTGTAGAAGTCTGAGTCATTGCTGCCTCTGGAACCTAAGAGCTTGGGGGTTCTAATCAGTGCCTGTCTTCTCTGCCTTAGCCTGTCAGCTTGCTTTCTAACCACCTCCAATAAATTTAAGCTTGTGCAGGTCAGAGGTCTTCTTTTCAGGCCATCTGTGGAGCGGAAGTGTCCACAGGTCAGACACTGCATTTGACCGTCCCTGCAGGGGTGTTTACTGAGGCGGGTTGCCACCCGAGCCTTCCTGACACAGCCCTGCCTGTCTTCCTCCCCAGGGCGATTGCGTGGTCACCGTCTTGCTCACGGAAGAGGACAAAGTGGAAGATGATGTCGTTTTTTACTTGGTGTTTTCGGGCTCCTCCCTCCATCACTGTACAAGTACGCGGAAGGTCAGCGCAGACACTCTGGAGACCATTGCTCCTGGTAAGTTGGGCGGGAGTTTGCTTCTGCCGAGTTCTCCAGCTCTGGGGAGTGCTGGCGGGCTTCGACTATGCCTCATCTTTATCTTACGGGCAGTCTAGAACAACTTGTTTCTGTTGTTACTTGTTTCACAAAAATCAGAATTTACAAATGAGTGGAGGTAAAATGGCAGTAAAAAGCCAGTGGGTTGCATGGAGGAGGCTGGGGAAGGACTGCCCAGGGGTGACCCAGCCTCCTGAGTGGTGGCTCCTGACCTGACCGCAGTCGAGGCGGCGCCTGGTGGGGAAGTAAAGGCCGCGTACTCATGCTTTCCCCAACGCTGCCACGAAAGCCAGATTTCCCCAGATGGACAAGTTGTCGTTGTGGTGCTTGGTCAGTCGTAGCATTTATAAACTTGACAGAATTTAAAGAAAATATGTATGGATTAAAACTTCTCCCCAGAGTCATTAAATCGTTCCCACTTCTCCCGACTTGACTGATACACGATGAGCCCATCACAGCATGTGAAAACGTGTTGATTTGTGTTAGGAGATGAACCTCCTTCGGGCTTTGCTATGAAGTCAACAGTGGGCCAGTTTTCGTCACAATACAGAAGGGAACCCCTGAGAAGTGCTGGCAGTTGAAATAGTTGTTAGAGAACAAGAAGCATTTCTCTCTTATTGAAGATGCATTTCCAGTTTGCTGGAAATCGATGGCATAAAAATTACTAGACTGTGAAGCACTTTGAGTGTGTGGCCTTGATGGTAGGGGGGAGGTTGCTGGTTTTCCCTGCCTGTGACACTGTTTCACATAAATTAATTTCACGCCTGATAGTTGCCAAATTCTGGAAATTTTACCACATCCAAGGACTGGGATTATGATAATTGAAAGCTGCTCCTCCTCAGCAAAAATGATCTAGGGAATACAGGATTTAAAGATTCTTACTTCAGGCCCTCCCTGGTGGCACAGCGGGTTAAAGCACTGCACTAAGAAGCTTAAGCCACTTCAACATGAGTTCGATCCCCGCCTGCCCAGGAGGAGATCCACATGGCGTGGCAGTCCTCTCCTGACCCGCCCGCTGCTCCCCTCAGCAGTGTACTTCGTCGATCTGCCTGTTCTGCTCCCCACTCTGTCTCTGGTGAATCCTCTCACCCTCTGCACGTCTGGCCTGTACCCCAGTTCTGTATGAATAAATAAATAAAACTTTAAAAAAAAAAAAGATTCTTACTTCACCCCAAAGTTTTAGGAATGGGAAAATTAACAAGGAGTTCAGGATAGACACTGATTTCTTTTCTGAAAGCATTAAGTAGCCTTCTTAGATGTAACGTGAAGCACCAGCCCTCCTGTTTTCTGAAGAGTCTGTCACATCGGAAAGGCTAATGTGGGACGTGAGGGCGGCAGCCCACTTCCTTCACAAGGGGCAGACGGAGCCTCTGTTCCCTGGGGGCTGGGTGGTCTTCCCGGCTCTCTAGGGAAGCGCAGTGGAAGTGCTTCAATGAACGCACCCCTTCCTGCAGGGGACGCAGAGCTGCGAGGTGGAGGGTGAGTGTGGGTGTGCGACTGTGGCGAGTGTGAGGCGGTGCCGGAGAGCGCCACTGTGGGAGACAGAGGCAGGCTACTGCCCCAAGTCTGCCCTGTCTGAGGCTCTGCGCCTTCTTCCTGGCCAGGCGCTCCAGTTAGGATGCCAGGATGCACGGAGTGTCCCTCTGCTGGGCGCCACAGACCACTGCACTGTGTGGGAGCCCGGAGCCCCTGTTCACCCCGGGGCTTGGGCACCTTCTCAGCCTGCTCTGGCGCTCCAGCTTTTTCTCCTTTGCCTTTACTCTGGCACCTCCTAGGTAGCTCAGTGCCCACTCCTGTGGCCACACCATCTGGGCGTCCTTGCCTGCTTACCCATGAAGTACCCCTGTCCCGCCTGCCCCAGCCAGCACGGCAGAGCTCCATTCTGGACCCCAGTGGTAGTGACTCCCCAGAAGTCATGCCTGGCCCATTTGCTTGGGGCCTGGTGTTCTCATACCTGTCTACTTTATTTCCTACTGATCAGCTCTCCTCCCCTGACTCCCTGTCTTGCTCACTCCCACTTTACCTGTCAGCGTATGAGTCCAGCAACGTGTTGCCTTTGCCTTCAGCTGTCCTGAACACTCTGGCCCTTGACGTCAGTCGGGCTGCCACTGTGAAGTGCCTGATCACCGCAGAGGTGACAGAGCTTGCGAGTGCATGAAAGACCCCCCGTGCAGGTTGGCCAGGCAAGGAGGAAGGCAGCACTGGTAGCCAGGGGCCTTTGAGGTTCTGCCAGGGTGCCAGTGTGCTCCCTGGTTGGTTGTTAGGCGCTGACGACTCTGAAGCAAGAACATTCCTGAACCCTGGCTCTCCACTGTCACCTGGGCTGTCAGCCATCTCTGTGGAGGGTGAAGGTAGTTTTGAATCTCTCATTTGGGTCAAGGAGTTAATATTTTAGCCTAGAATTGAGCTGTCTTCAACCTGCTTTGTGGACTTCTTTGACTTGGCCTTTACCCCCTTCTGGTCTTTACGTAAGTATCACCTTCTCAGTGAGGCCCTTCCTGTCCACCTTGTCAAAGTACACAGCCGCCCCTTCTCCACCTTGCCCATTCCCCTCCCCTGTTGCTGTTTTTTTCCCATTGCACTAACTCATTATTTCATTCCTCTTACCTGTTTTCTTCCACATGCCTCAACTAAAGTGTCGGCATTGTGAGGGCAAGGGTATTTTGCCTGTGTGGGCACTGGTGGTGTTGCTGAGGTCTGTTCTGGGAACCCCCACCATGGGAGGGAACAGTGTTTTCGTGGTGGCAACTATTCCTGAGTCTCAAGAAGCCTTTCTTCTGGAAAGGTGGTCACACATGTGCACACACATGCACTCACACGCCTGCACCTTCTCTTGGGAAAAATGCACAAGGAGCCTCGCTTCTCCACGGAGACTCTCAGCTCTGAGCAGGAGTCTGGTCTCCAGAGCCGCCTGCGACGACTGCCGTGTGTCCGGGAGGCCATGTTGATAGCCTGGGGCTTGTCTGCGGGGGCGAGCCTTGTGAGCATCCCGGCCCGCTGCCTGCAGCAGCTGCATGCAGCAGAGGTGCTTCTGTGCCCTCTGCTCACGTGCTCCTGTCATTTCTGCGAACTCTGGGAAGAAAAAGAGCTTTGTCTCTTGTTCTGGATTTTAACGTCACGTTGCATCCAGATTGTGGGTGCCGTTTCCTTTGAGCTCTCTGCCCTGTTTCACTATCATTGTTTGGTAACATTTAGTTTTTCAAAAACCCGATGATGGGTTGACCTTCAAAAGACAGTTTTTGATATTAGTCAATGACCTTTAATTGTTTGGGAGCAAGATGGAGCGTTTATTTGTCAACTAAAAAAAATCAAAACAAAAAATGAAACCTCTTCAAAAAGAGATTACTGTCCCTTTTCTTCCTCTCCTCACTTTTTTGCTGCTTTTCTGAGAAGGCTATATTGACTTGTGTGTGCATGCTAACTATAAAGGCATTGTACACGTTTTTCAAAGTGAATTTTTCTTGCCTTTCTGAAACGAAAGGGTCTAGACAGTAGGTGACTTCCCTCCTTAGATTAGAAAGTCCATTAAGAGCAATGACATCTTGGGGCTTGGGGAGGTGGAGACTTGGCTTTCTAGTTGAAGCCAAAGAATGTCCTCCCTTTAGAAAACAGCCCAGTCCTTGTGCTAAGTAAAGTGACAGCCGCCAGCGAGGCTTCCCCAGTAGGGACCCTCAGACCTCGGTGTTCGCCTGCCTTGTTGGTGTTCGCGGTCTTGTCGATGTGCGCCTGGCCGCGTCGCCTGTGGTGACTGAAACAGCTGTTCTTTCGTTAAAACAAATCCGACCCAACTCCCACTTTATCAGATGTTTTTTTTTTTTTTTTTTTTTTTTTTTTAAAAGCCTGTTTTGGGCCGAGAGTAATGGATGTAAAGGAATCTCAGTGTTGTTCTAAGATGACTCTTGGGCGGACCTGGAGCACTGGCTTCCTGTACTGTGCTCGTGTTATTACGTGAGATGCGGATTTCGAAGCAAACGCTGATTCCAGAATGAGAAATGAAGAACGGCTGTGTGAGGATGCTACATCCTATTCTTGTGAAGACTTGGCTTTAGAATTTTTTACAAAATGAGGCCACTTTTCCAGCAGTTTGTTTTAGAATTCACAGAAGTAGTTCTTATTTGATAGGAAAACTACATTCATGGCTCCCAAATTGGAGCACTTCCTCGGTATCTTTCTTTTCTTTCTCCGTAAAGGGAGCTAACCGTATAAAGGTGATTGGTCATTTAAAGCCATGAAAGGGATGAACAGCAGCATTTACCATCATCAGAAGCCCTTACAGGTTCACCTCAAAGTCACGGCCCCTAGTCCAGGCCTCAGAGTAGCTCTGCGCCCATCACAGTGGCCTCTGGAGATGCCCAGAGGTCGCCACATTGAAGAACACATTTGGGAAAAGGTGCAGGCTCTTCACTGGCCAAGGCAGAATTCTGACACCCTCTCCCCCGATGTCACCAGTTTGCTTTTAAGTCACATTTTCTAACAAGCTTCCTATTCTAAAATACTCCTCCTGTAAGGCTATTGTAGGCAGACAAGATTGTATATTTTAAAAAACTTAAGTGACTGTCCTAATGCTCATTCTGTGTATGTAGTGGTTATTCTGGAAAGCTTGAGAACTAGTTGAGGGAGAGAAATCTGTCCTTTCTTGTCCCAGCTGTGAGGGTTACTTGTCATGGGACTTCTAGCACACTGTACTGGACTGTAGTTTGTGCGTTACTACCAGGCACTATCCCCCTCCCCCCCAAGGGGTGACAATGGACACTTAAGAGTATAAGAATGTGTGTATAAACATTTGGCCTCGGGGCTGCGGGAACAGAGAATAGACAGAAATGCCTTCAAGGCTCCTTGGGGGGGGATGGCAGTGAATGAAAGGTTGTGAATCACCGCCTTCCAGTAATCATTCAGTAAAATGGAATTTTGTGGATCAGATTTTCAGTTTAGATCGACTTTTCTTCCCCTGCTGGTTCCCCCTATGCACCAAGATGTGGCCCATGCAAGCGATCTTCACATCTGCCCCCGGGCAGGCCCAGGGTGGCGCCTCTGCACACGCTCCCTCCTGGCAGAGTGGGCCTGAAGGTCCAGAGTTACCTTTTTTACCACATAGAGCTGCAGAGAGATGAGAAGGACCAGATTCTGACCTCCTGAGATGCCACACCAAAGTGGACAAAGACGCTGTGTTTGTGTTTGTCGCCCTGGGGTGCAGAGGCCGCCCTGCCACCTCTTTCCCCGTGGCTGTGTAGGATGGGGCTTGTCTGGCTAGCTAACACTTTCAGGCTTCCCTTCGGATTGCTGGCGAAACAAAGTCCCAGTTGTTCCGTTCTCAAAAGAGAAGGCCCGGATGGGATGTGTGCCATTTTTAGCTTAATAGGAAATGAAGTAATTCTTGGGTCATGCCTAAGCAGTTTTGTTTATCTGTAGCAATATTTCGTTTCCATGGGAGTAGGTGCTTCACAGAGTGATAAGCAGCCTGAGCAAAAGCTCTCCCAGCCTCCTTGAGCACAGATGTATCTTTTCACCTGGAGCTTAAAAGGTTTGGAGTAGATGTTTTCAAGAGGCCCCTCAGCACCTAGGTGTTCCTTGTTCCTGTGGTTTATTCTGAGTTCTTACCCTCTTCCTCCCCTGTCCCCCCTCTTGGCATCAAAGGGCATCGTTAATGCCACAGCGTGACTGGTCCACAGGCAGAAGCTGAAGTGCTGGGGTGGGGTTGGGGGTGCTGTTTTCCTTGAGTGACCTGTAAGGGCGTTTTGATAGTGAGTTGAGTCGCTGTAAGCCCCAGGTCTTTTTGGTAGCTGCCTGGTTTACTGGTAGGTTGAAAATTTTCAGCAGCCTGGAAGCTTGGTGGTGGGCTCAGGTGGTGCCTGAGGAAACAGGTTCAGCATTGAGGGACTTTCTCGGGATAACCTAGTCTACTAGTGAGGTAGGGAGGTGGGTTTTTAACTTCAGCTAAACAATCAGTAGCCCTCACAGTGAGGGTCAGATCTCGGTCCCTCACAATTTTTTAAATAGTATTTTTTTTTTAAAGATTTATTCATTTCTGCATACAAAACTGAGGTACAGGCCAGAGGTGTAGGGGGTGAAAGGACTCACCAGAGACAGAGAGGGGAGCAGAACAGGCCGATGAAAAAGCACACTGCTGAGGGGAGTAGCAGGTGGGTAAGGAGAGGTCTGCCGCGCCCTGTGGGTCAGCTCTGGGGTGGGGGTTGAACTCACACCCAAGTGGCCGCAGCTAGCTTCGCAGTGCTGTGTTTTAGCTGCTGCGCCACCAGGGAGGGCCTCAGAATTTACTTCATATTTTGCTGTGCACTGGACCTGACTGTGGGACAAAGGCAGAAGGCAATTAAAAATGTGGAATCAAGATTTGGTCTGTGTTCCTTTCACAGTTTCTCTTTTTTCCCTCTGTCAGTCTGGGGAGTTTCCTCAGAAGACACCAACTTTTCAGAACTTCCCTTTTGAAAAGGCGAAGTTTTTATTTTCCTTCCTTGTTACCAGGACGCTGAGTGGAAGGAGAGTCACAGTGGGATTGACTGAATCCCTTGCTGCTCTTTGTCCTGCAGCTTCTGTTCTCATGACAGAGAGGTTACATCATGGTGGCCACGTCGGACGGGACGTGGCTTCCAAGCACAGGTTATTCACGCCTGCTGTGGACACTGTTCCTGCCTCTGGGGTTCCTGCTCAGAGGCTGGTGACCCTGCGAGTCCCTCCTGGTGGTGGGGAAATGCTGTGTGTGTGCGTGTGTGTGTGTGTGTGCGCAGGGCTGTTCGTTCATGTGATGTGACCTTTGTTGTGAAAATGTTGATTTTTTTTTTTTTGCTCCTAAATGCTAAAAAGCTAGAAAGACTTAAAAACAATCTTGAGAACCACTTAATCCTGATTAAAAAAAAAAAAGTGACGTGAGCAAGTAGCCCTGGCAGCGGTGTGTGGCCGGTTCCAGACAGGAGGGAGGCCCAGGCTCAGGCACAGCCCTCCTGGCCCAGCATAGACGTGGCCGAGAGATGTTCGCGTTCTCTCGTCTCTCGTTCAACCCCGTTTCTCTTTGGGGAGAGAAGCCCAAATTCGTGCCAGACAAACTCCCAGATTTGTGGCAGCTTTTACTCGGGATGATGCAGTTTCTCCTGTAGATTGTGAGTTCTTCCGAAGAGAAATTACTGACCTAACAGTTAGGTGGGCTCCTCCCAGCGCCGTGTCCTGCTGTCTCTGACATCCCGCCGCCTCTAGCGTGAGGCTGTGCTGTGGTCACACACAACGCCACAGGCGCTCCCTCGTGCCCTGCACACTTCCTAATGGATTTTCCTGCCCAAGTAGCAGTGTGGCACACACAGACCCCGCATCTGTCTCCCCTGCTCGCTTGTTCCCACCGTGTGCTGCCAAGTGGGGGGTCACGTCGGCAGCCCTGCTTTCCAGCCTTCAGCTCCCGAGAGGGCTTTGGCTGTGTGTGTGCACGTGCGTGCGTGCGTGTCCCAGGGAGACACACACACACAGCATCTGAGCTCTGCAGGTCACAGTGAAGAGTCGTGGGGCGGGAGAGCTGGGAGGGAGCAGGACCCTGTGGAGACCCTTCTCCCACCGCCCAGTGCGGAGTGAGAGCTCGTGCTGTTGCCCACACAGAGCCCGGCCCACTCGCACTCGGGCCGTGGTGTTGGCAGCGTGCCGGAGCCCCGCTGTAGGCTGAGGGGCTCCGGGCGGGCAGGCGCAGCTTACTCATCTTCTCTGTCCAGTCATGGTTCCGTCTTCTTGGTGAGTATTTGGCTGCTTGTTGTCAGATGCCGGAGAAGAGCTTAAAAGAAACCTCTGCTCTTAGAGATGAGCAGCCCCGCTGCCTGAGGGAGTGGACTTGTTTCTGCTGACGTTGCAGTCTCATTATGCCGTCTGTCTTGTACACTCTGAGGAGAAACTGTCTTTCCAAGAAAGATTAGTTTTCCCCCATCTGTTAAGTGTGTGAATTCAGCATGTAGGTTGAATCGAAATACTTGCCTGCGTGTGCATGCCACACCCAGGCCGAGAACGCTGCACTTCCCAGTGCCTCACAGGAGGAACTCAGCTGGGAAGGCAGGAGGCTCGTGGACAGCCCAGAAGAAAGCGTCTGCATGGACCCTGCTCGACGGCGCACGAGCGGGTGTGGAGCGGGTGTGCTCACTCGACCGTCACACTGCTGGCCATGCCAACCGTCCGGCCCCGCCAGGCAGGCCTCAGCCATTTTCTCCTGTGCTGTGTGGCACACAGGCTTGCAGCTTGATGTAACAGTAAGCGCATCCTTGGCCTCTGCTCTGAATTTAATAGAATTCTGTCTTAATATCTGTGTAGCCTTGAGCAAGTGACATGACTTCAATTTGAAGTCTTGTTTTTTTCTTATACAATGGGAGGACGGTGCATAGCTCGTAAACTGGTTGTATAAAGAAAACGGCCGGCAGTTGCCTGGTATGTAGAGGGTCCTTGGTGAATATGTCACCTCCTAGCATTGCGGAAGAGCGAGCGAGCGTAACGGGTGCTAGGCGGCCCCTTGGAGAATCGCTTTGCTTTGCTCTTGTTGGTCACATGAGAAATAATTAGTTCTCTCGCAAAGATAGTGGGAACATAGTTGCTTCTGCCCATGTCTGGCACCTCGTGGCTTCTGCTGTGGTGTGACAGGTAGAGTGGCCTCCGCCTGGCTCCCATTAACTACAGCTCAGTGGCTTTTGGCCCTCGAGTGGCTCCGTGCCGAGGCCGCTCTGCAGGCTCTCAGTCAGGTCGAGGCTGGGCAGAGCACTGGAAGCCTTGACGCAAGTCACAGAAACATCACCTCTGTTTCTCTCTTGTAAAGCTGCTTTGTGGGAGGATGTGAAGGGTAGCACAGACGTCTAGCTAGGGAGGCCAGGGTTTGAAAGGTGAGGGAGCGTGGTGGGTGTGTGTATTCTGCCTACTGGACACACTCGACCCGGGACAGTGGTGTCAGACGTTCCTGATTTTGCCAACTGGGGCTCAGGCTTGCTGCCTGACTGAGGTGGTAGCCTCACCGTCCCCCACCCACGAGCCCCACTGGTCTCAGGCACCAGCCTCTGACTGGCTTGTTTCTCCTGAACTAGCTTCTTACCACGGTGTCGCATCGTCCTTATGTGAACTGGCCTCCTCACTGAAGTCCTCTCTTCTTCCAGGAAGGAATGTGCATCCGAGAACAGATGCTCTTTCCTGGATCTTGAGTTGTGGTTAATAGGAAAATAAAAATCTAGTAGTTTCATGCTTTTCAAAGTGCTTCATCTTTTGACTGGTGGCCAGTGACAGAGTAGGCTATTGAGGCGTGTGCTGGGGCGTCTGAAAACCCTCCCAGGTCTCTGGGGTGCCCTGTCCCCACTGGCTTCAGCTTGAGCTCCATTCAGCGGGTTGTAGGCTTCCTGCGCCATACTTGTCTTACAGGAACCTAGAGCTCCTGTTCTCTGGTAGGTTCCATTGAACAGCTGGAGTTGTGTTCAGGGTCTGCTCAGCGCCAAGTGCCACTCAGGGCCATGGCGACAGCTGGGTTGCCCAGCGACTGCCGTTGGCTGAGGAGCTGATCACATTCGCAGGTAGCAGTGGAGCTTTCAGGAGCTGGGGCGGTCGCTCCCTCAGAGCCCTGCGGCTGGAAGGGTCCCTTTGGGCGGAGGAGAGCAAGGGGACGGTCCGCGCCCACTCGGCCGGGAGCACTCACCCTGTTGTCGCGCCCGCGCACTCTCTGCAGGCCACGATTGCTGCGAGACGGTGAAGGTGCTGCTCTGCGCGTCCAGGGAGGGCCTGCCTGTGCTCGTCGTGGCCGAAGAGGACTTCCAGTTCATCCAGGACGAGGCCTACGATGCGGCCCAGTTCTTGGCCACCAGCGCCGGGAACCAGCAGGCCCTGAACTTCACCCGGTTCCTTGACCGGTCAGGGCCCCTGTCTGGAGACGTGAATTCCCTTGACGAGAAGGTGGCCCTGGCCTTCAGGCACCTGAAGCTGCCTGCCGAGTGGAATGTGCTGGGGACAGACCAGACCCTTCCCGGTAAGAGCCCGATGACCCACAAACAGGTAGGGTTTGTTTCTCTAACTAGGCCACCACTGTGTGGTCGCAGGCAGCCGTCGCGTGGCTGCGTGGCCTTGGTGGCAGGCCCTCAGCTGAGCCGTTTCAGCTGTCCTTGCAGTGTGGGGCCACGAGCCCCCGTGCGCAGTGGTGGTCCTCAGCGGCCCTCTAGAGGCGGCACCTCGCCTTTCAGGCTTTGCCTCGGGGCTTGGCGGGGGACCACCTCTTACGGGGAAGTGACCGTGACTTTACTACTTTTTGGTGTTTGACTAGCAGAGGCTGTATGTTCATTGGTGTGTTCTGAAGTTCTCTGGAGAGAGCATGGGGCTGGAGGAAAGGGAAGACCAGGTGGTGGGGGCACAGGAGCAGGACGAGCTCTGAGGACCACCCCACACTCTTCAAACCAGAAGACTTTCGCTCTTGGGTATATGAATTCACTGAAGAAAGGGCCCTGCCCCGCTTTTTGAAAAATACTGAGGTAATACATGGCTCTCTCTGTTCCCCTTATGCATGGGGGGAGTTTCCACATAATTATTCTTGTAAGGAATGACATCAGATGTCGTGATTTTACATAAATATTTAGGTGAAACCAAGTATATTCTGGGGTCCATTAAGTAACACCTCACTTCAAATCCAGATGAAAAACACAGGGGTTCTAGAGAAGGAGGTCAAAGCATTGACTGTGTTACTGATGAGCCTGGAATCGAAGGCTGGTGCTGGGCCTCCTGTTGGGTTTGCTTACCCTTCCTGCTGTATCCCCGAGAGGGCTGTACAGCTCCAGGACGCCCCGCAGCGTCCCCCGGATGGGGTGATTATGTGAAGTGGAGAGAGAAGATCTGAAGTCCCCACGAGGCGCCTAAGCAGGGACATTACATGTTCCCACTTTCACAGAACCATCAAAGAAAAACGATCCTTCCCCTGGGGAAGAAGCTAAGGAGTGGTGGTTTTCTAGAATCCAGAGTTAGCAGTTACGGCTGTGACCAGCCACAGGATGAGGTCCCAGACTGTCGGGAGTCTGCCTTCAGCATGTTCCTGGTCAGTACCGCCAGGTCAGTCATGAACGGAAAGGACCTGAAAGTCAAATCAAGGGAGAAGGCCTTGTGCTTTGCTTTCTCTGGGCCAGGTAGTGCCCAAGGAACCTCTGCATCACTAGCTCTGGGGGCTGGAATACCTGCCTCTGTGTAGGACGGAGACCGTTTGAGAAGCCAGTGTTTACTGCCTGTGTGTTGGTAAGGGCACAGTCTTCCTGGTGGCCATTTACAAGTTAGCTTGGATGGATTGCATTATTTAGTTATTTAGTTGTGGGGCTCATGGTGTTCTTATGGTTCTGTTTTGTCTTGTTTAAAGAAGACACAGGGAGGAGCTACGTAATGTGTGCATGTTACCATGAGTAAAAAAGAACTGTTTAAAAAAAGCATAGGTCTGTAACCTCAGGCATATCACTTCCCTCACTGGACGTTAGCTTCCTTGTCTCTAATAGAGAACTGGCCAGTTTTAACTTTTTGTGTTCTTGATGTTTCTACTGTACACAACAGCTCTCATACAACACTATTACAGAGACTAAAATTTAGATTCTCAGTGCTGTGCTTTAACCCACTGCGCCACCAGGGAGGGCCGAGACTAAAATTTAAAAAGCACGTGTTGGCAAGGTTACAAAGGAACATCTCATGCATTGCTGGTAAAAATGAAATGGTACAGCCATTCTAGAACAGTTACGACAGTGTCTTAAAAAGGTTAGGCCACATTTACTGTATGACCTAGCAGCCACACTTCTGAGTATTTACCGCAGAGAAATGAAAATGTGTATTTACCTCAAAAGTCTTCACACATGGGTGCCTATTATAGCACCTATTTATAATCATCCTAGATTGGAAACATTCCGGATTTCCCTGTTTGGGTGAATATATAAACAAACTGGTATATCCGAACTGGAATACCACACAGCAACGAAAAAGGAACAGACTGTTGATATGTGCAGCAAATTGGATGCCTTTTTAATGCATTGTTGGAAAGAAGTCTATTTTCAGGTTACTTAATACATGATTCCACTTGCATATTTTGAGAAGGGCAGAACAGAAAACAGGTCAGGTCAAATACTAGTGGGGGAAAGGATGACTTGCGGAAGATATCATGAAGGCATTAAGTGCTTGAGTGTTAGAATTGTTTCAGTTTGTTCATGGTAATTAAATGTGTTCAAATTCATGTACACCCTCCCTCCCAAAAGTGAATTCTATTGTGTATAACTTAAAAATAGCTGAACTAAAGAAACTGAGTAAGCTAAGTGCATACTTTGCAAGTTGAAATGCAAGCAAGTGGCGTGATAGGGCCTGTTGACTTTAGCCCACACCTGACTTCAGGAATCTTGTTTCAAGCGCTAGGTGCACATTCTGCAGGCGACACTGTTCCACTGATTGTGGCTGAGAGTCTGTGAACACTGGGTAATTTAAGAGCAGAGTGGCATTAGTTAAAAGGTGCTTGCTTACTACTGAAAGAAGAATGTAAAGAAAGTTTGTTCACATAATACACTATTTCAAGGATATTTAAAGGGAGAAGGAACCGAATCGGGAACCTGTTCTATAACAGGCCTGCTAGCTGCTGAAAGCTCAGATGGTCACAGGTGTTCCAGCCTAACGGTCATACAGAGGCATCTGCTGGGATTCATGGCTCTTCTCTGACCCATTATTTGTTTAGATGCAGTGCTTTTTCGTTTTCTCAGGTCACTGGTTCATTTGAAAAAAGTTCACAATTCTCCTTACGAAAAAAACATCCACATGGCTGCCTGCCTGCAGAAGTGTGCTGCTCCTGTGGGACCCAGTGTCCCTGGACCACCACGAGCGAGGGCGAGACCGAGAACTCTTGCTGCAGGTTCAGTGCTGTGACATGCCAGTGCCGAGAGTGGCATCAGACACGGGTTTAAACGTGGGCTCGTTGCAGGAGTTTGTGCAGAACACCTAATCCCTCTGCGTCTCACGCTTCTCTGATACAGCGGCAGCTTGTCTGGGCAGTGCGTGCTATAGTGTGTGCTCTAGCAGGTCGATCACTCGTAGGGTGTCTTGACTGGCCAGTGACCTTTCAGGGCCAGAGTGTGTTGCCTGCGGTGGCAGAAGGGACCTGTGTGGTGCGGGGTGCGGCGGGGTGGGGCAGGTTTAGCCCTGTATCCACGAGGGGAATGTCACAGTTTTCAGTTTTGCTTTTACTTCTGAGGTTAATCCTCATTTCAGCATGACTGGAGGGTGTCTGTCCCCTTTAGTTCTCCAATCCTGGGTTACATGAAGCTCTGTCTACACCGTCTTAAATGCAAACAGTAAGCACTGTTCCCTGGGGGAGGGCGGTGGATGGGGGAAACACTTCCCCTCTGGCCGGTTACTCCTGGTCTCAGCTGCAGTGGGGAGCAAAAACCTCGACCTCCCCTGGGAATGTGGGAGCCCTGGGGGCAGCTTCATTCTTACCCAGTGGTGGTATTGTACATTGGAAGGCTAAGAAGAGCTGACCAGCTAGGGGTGGGGGGCCTCCCCATAAAGAGAAATCTTGGGCACGGAGGCTGGGAGCGGCCTGTCCCTCGGCTGCCCCTGTGCCCAGTCACAGACGCTTGGTCTGTTCCAGGCTGACCTTCAGGAAAGGTTTCCTGTGGCCACACCCACTGGATTTGTGTGTTTTGTTTTTTCAGCTCTCCTAAGTACAAAAAATCAGAAAATAAGGACCACTGAGGAACTTTGCTCACCAGAGGACAAAGCTCCTAGTGGCGCAGCGCTTTGGCTCAAGGCCCTCGTTGCCTCTCACACCTCCACTCTGTCACAGGGTCCTAGGTGTCCTCCTTCCAGTGCCTGTGGCTCCACAGGCGGCCCCCTCCCCGCCTGCCGCCTGTGGGGCTTCAGGGACAGGGCAGGGTGGAGGAAAGGTGAGCTTGCAGTCCGGGTGACCTGATTCCGGAGTGCTGCGGGGTGGGAGAGCTGCACGCAGTATTCTCGCGGACCCGGGGTCTTGTTTGGTCAGAGGTGCCGCCAGGCTGCCTGGGCACAGGCGCTCCGCAGCCCGAGGGCACGTGTGTGCGGGGTGCTTCCGGCCGCGTAGACAGTGAATGGGACTGAGGACATTTTCTTCTGCCTTCTCTGGGTTGAAGCTGGGCCTACAGAACGATCTTTCCAGATGTGCAGGGTTAAACAGGAAAACCAACCAACATGTGTCTCCCGCAATAACCTTGTGGCATACAGGAAGTGGCATAGGACCGTGAGTTTTCAGGTGAAAGAGTCTCTGGGTCTCACGTTCTCTAAGAAAAATTGAGAAGCTAATTTCCGTTTGTCCTGTAAGAGATGAAGCCAGGCCCATTATGAAATTAGAGAAGCAGCAACATGGAGGAAATAGGCTTGAGGAGAATGTCGGTCAGGGTGTACCTGAGATTCGAACAGTAGGAGAGACGTAGCGGTTGTTACAGGAATGGCTTGCAGGACTGTGGGCACTGGCTGCCGAGCAGGTCCAGCATGCTTAGGGCCCGCGGAAGGGGCCGTATGGCGAACTCAGCCCGCAGGAGGGGGCCACTGGGCACCTCCGCCAGCTGAGAGGCGAGGCCTGGGCAGAAGGGGCTCCCCAGGCACCGAGCGCATGGCCCCCCACAGGCCTGTCTCTCTCTCTCTCCGGGGAAACCTCAGCCTTGCTCCTAAGGGCTTCCAGCTGATTTAGTTAGGCCTACCCAGATTATCCAGGGTAATCTTCCTTATTAAATCAGCTGATTAGGAGCTTTAATTACATCTGCAAAAAACCATCATAATGAGGGCAAAGATGGAAAGGCAGTGGCTGGCGTGATGCAAGGACCTTCAGAATGCCGTAGCGTAATTAAATTCAAATTGGGGACAAAGGACCTAATTGACATCATTGGAAATGCAGTTAGTGATGTGAAAAACAAAGTTGAGTAAGTCTTTGAGAGCAGAGGAAAAAGACAAGGGTTTTGCAAGAGTAAACATGCAGAGACCGAGGGTGGGAAGCAGAGACCGGCCTGGAGTCTGGGCTGTGGCGAGCACCGGGAGGCGGGAGCAGCACTGACCACGGCCGGTGGACGCCTGCAAAAGGGTGTGCGGGGAGAAAGCGCACTCATGTCTTGGCTTCTTTGTCCCTTCATGCTGGGGCTGCGTATCCCACATACCTGCGTGCAGGACCCCGTGAAGAGCTCACAGAAAAGCGTGCGGAATGAAGCTGAGGCGCGTCTGACTGGGCGGCGTGGTTTGGTGACTTCCCCCTTGGTGCGCTGCCGCCTCACGGGGACTTGGGCGCTGTCCTGAGTGGAGCCCTGCACAGGGGCCGCTGTGGGGCAGCTCCCTTACAGGGCGCCATAGCGAAAAGCTCACCGCGGCGGTCAGCTCTGGGGTGCACTAACTGGGGAGTCCTGGGTTTGATCAGGCTTGGGTCACACAGGTGCGCCTGTGAGGACTGCCGAGGTGTAGCCCCCTGCAGCTCCTGCCGGGTGAACCGCGCAGATCATAACCAGATGTTGCGCTCCGGTTAACGATAGGTATACGGGGGTGAGCTGACAGTGGTGAGTAGAGAGGGCCATTGTGTGAATATGCGATGAAGCAAATACAGAAAGCATGAATTATGGGGATCCAGGTTGGCGAGTGTCTGGAGCTGGTGGTGTCGCTCCTTCCATTTTGTGTACATTTGGAAGAGCTAATAAGAAAATGGGGAAAACATGCAAGAAGGCACTTTTTAAAACAGGGCACTAGCTTGCCTGCATGATCGAGTCTTACAGGGGAAGCAGGGTGGGGTATTGTTGAGAATATGGTTTTGAGGGTTAAGGTGGAAGAATTTTTGAGTCCTGGTTCTTGCTGTGTGCAGGTTATTAGCTGCCTTCAGCTGCAAACAGGGTCCTTCAGCCCTCTCCCACTGCGGAGAGCTGCCGTGAGGGCGGAGAGCTGCCGTGAGGGCGAAGGCTGGTGTAAACACCTCAGCCCTGGGGGGCACCTTCATCTGCTGTCTCCAGAAGGGGTGGCCTCACCGCAGGGTGGTGCCTGTGCCATCCCGTCAGGATGAGGTGGGGGGTGGGCGCCAGGTCTGAGCAGGTCCTGCCCAGCTGCTGGAACTGCTCGGAGATGCCGCGCTGGCCGACTCAGAGTTAGCCAGGCTGCACGCAGAGGCCGTCCTAGGCAGAACCTACCTCTGCTGTCCCGGGAGGAGGCCCCAGGCCAAGAGCAGCTGCGCAGCCCAGGGCAGCTGGTGTTTGATCTTTTGTGCAGGTTTTTTCTGTCCTTTTGTTGGGTCATAACCACCTGCTCTGAGGTGTGATCTTTTAAACTCGTATCTGACAAGCAATGGTTTCTTCTGGGGCGCTGTCTGCTGCCCAGCATGTGCCTGTGCTGCTCACCCTGTAATTGTGAAGTTTTGTGAGGAAAATGTGGAATGGGAAAAATAACTTTTGCTTCCAGGAACTGGACCTTGGCAGCTGGGAGACTGGACACCGGTGTAAAATCACAAGTGCAGAGATGTGTTCCCCCATAGGGGGGTGTCCACGCAGAGCAGCCCGGGGTGGGGGTGGGGGCTGGGCACAGCAGGTTGAGGAGCCAACAGGGCAGCAGTCTGAGAACACTTCCAGGGGAAGCTGACCTGAGGCAGCTACCGAGGAGAGGAGAGGGTTGGTGCGAGGCAGGCACGTTATGGGGCTCCTTCCCCCCAGTCCCCTGTGGGGCTCCAGGCAGCCTCGGTCCTGCAGCAGCTCTTGCTCCAGCCTCACAGGTTGGGCACGGCAGATGCCTGAGAAGTGTTGCCAGCAAGCCCAGCGTGTAACTTGAAATCGGTAGGAGAGCAGGGCGCGAGAAGGCAACCACTGAGGGGCACCTTTCCGGGCACCTTTCCAGCCAGCCACCCTGCAGGCAGGCCGGGGCCACCCTCTCACTTGTCCTTGCAGCCGGATCAGGGCGCAGCGGTGCTGCCTGCACGCGGGACAAGAAGGGCCTGCTCCGAGAGGTGGGGAGTATGCCTGGCGCGACCACCACTTTCTGGATGACTCCGGCACGGAGGGCCTTCCCCTGAGGAGAAGACGCCCAAGCTCATGCCTTTGTTTCCAGAGGCATTTGTGCATTGCCCTAGAATGAGTTTTTTCACTGTGCCTGGAGTTGCACTTCTCTCTTTCCTTAAACAAACAAAATCGCTGGCAGTCCCCCAGTTTGATTTTCCCTTAATGTGGGGAATAAAAGAGCGTGTGTCCTCAACAAGTAGAACCTGTTTTAGTGTTTAGCTGGCCAAGTCTTGTCTGGGTGTTGCTATTTTCTCAAGTAATTAGCCCTTTATGATACACCCATCTAAGCCCCAGCAGCCCCCCTCCCCCCATCCTGGGGTCCCTGTAGTGCGAGGCCACTTTCACTTCTATGTTTTACATTTGTTTAAAAAAAAAAAAAACAAGCCCAAATGCATGGAGTCACCCTGCGGAGCTGCTTGATGACCCGCTGCCTGCGGACAGGGACCGAGTCAGAGCGCGGAGGGCTGGCTCTGCCCCGGGCTCTCACTGGCGGCCACCGCCTCTCTCGCTCCGCCCTGTGTCCGGAGTGGGTTCTCGTGGCTGCAGTGCAGTTGCCTCATGGGGGGTTGTGGGTTAAGATCTCAGGGCCGCAGGTACCTGAAGCAGGTGTCCCTCTGGCTGGCTTTTGGTTTGTACTTGCCCTCACCGACTGCCCTTTCTGCCCCCTGCAGATGGCGCCCCCCGGGAGACGCTGATGCATTTTGCTGTGCGGCTGGGACTGCTGAGGTTGACATGGTTCCTCCTGCAGAAGCCAGGTGGCCGTGGAGCTCTCAGCATCCACAATCGGGAAGGAGCGACGCCTGTGAGCCTGGCCCTGGAGCGGGGTTATCACAAGCTGCACCAGCTGCTAACCCAGTAAGTGCTGTGCTCCCTGTTCCCCATCTCTGGCCTGCAGCCCCACCCCTGGCTCTTAGTGCCGCCCACTTGGCATATCAGTGTGAATTTGCCAGGAATTAAAACCTCAGCTCTGTGCCCTGCCCGCTGCTGGAGGGCTACAAGCTTGCTCCTGCTAACCCGTTACTCTCTGAGAGAGACAAACGTAAGTTGTGTCGCCTCTTTCTCTCTCCTCTGCCTCCTGCCTTCATTGCTTCTAGCTGCTTCTGTTTTCCTGAAAACCCGGAATCTTGTCGGGGCAGCCCTCCACTGCCGCTTGTGCATGTACCCTGGTGTGGTGCTGGGGACACAGTTTTTCTGCGCCGTCTGTCTCTGTTGGTGTGACTTCACAACTTGGAAGGGCGCTTGCTCCTGAGTACTGTAGGACGGCCACTGTGCGGAAGACAGGCTGGGCTTGGAGTGTAATTTCTGGGAGGGAAGTGGAAAACTTGGTTTCTTCATGTGGAAAATTGTCCTGGAAATTTGCAGAAGGAAACCTGTCGTGTCTGTGGGTTCACCTGTTACAGTCTATGTCTTCAGAGAGTCTTTGAGGGAGGTTGTCAGTCAAAAGCTGGGAGGAGTTCTTGTTCTCTTGTGTAGAGAAATAAATTCACGACAACAGCCAAGAGTTTTCATTGGATTATTTATAACAGGCAGAAATTTCAAGTTCAGTTTCTCTTGTTTAATACATTTTTATTTTATGGTCTTCATCATTTACGTTCTGCCATGTAATCTGATATGAGTAAGCCTCATTGGACCCACAGTTTCTAGCAGTCTAGGGGTACTTGTTAAGCTGTGAGAATATGATGTTCCCAAATTCTCAGGTATTTTGCTGTACCTGACTTAACTTAGTTGCAGTATTTTTTTTTTCCTTTTACCATTTTTAGGGTGTGTGTGGTGGCGGGGGACAGTGAGATTAGAAGGTCAAGTAGGGATCCCAGTAATGTTACTGACTGCATATTTGTTTTTCTTCTTATTTCTGTGCCGATCAAGTCCCACAAAGTTCTCTGCAGGCTCCTCTGATGGGTGGTGCAGATATGGTGAGGGTGGGAGGGCTGCCAGTGGGGTGAGCCTGGGATACCTGAGCCGGCCTCTGCTGCTATCCGAGAGGGAGGGGGAGGGGTAGGCTCGCTCCTTCCTGCCTCCCATCTGGCTTGGGGCGGCCCATTGTGCTAGGCGGAGGCTGGAGCATTCTCCTGCAGCTGTAGCTACTGTGAAGTGCTGTTGCAGTTCCTCTCAGTTGGTTCTTCTAACTAGCCACTTGCTGGGAAGTTTCACTGGCGAAGGGTTGCTGTCCACACGGGGAAATGAAGGGGTTACGACAGCCTCGCTTGGTGCTTAGTGAGGGTGTCACAAGACTGCTGTTGCAGCACAGCTTCAAGGAAACTAGAGTGTTTGTTCTGGGAGCAGGGTTTGGCTTGCCCTCGAGTGCTGCCTCTGCTCCAGGCGGGAGAGCCCCTCTCTGGAGAGGACTAGGTAAGGAAAAGCAGCTTGAGCAGTCGTCCCGTGGAGGACTGCGGCGGTCTGAGGGCCTTGCTGCAGATCCAGCCTTGAGGCTTGGACCGCTTGGCTCCTCTTGTGCAAGCGAGGCAGAAGCTTTGGTGAGATTTAGCAACTCAGAGAGTGGTATGGGGATGATTTTATTACATCTCTCAGTTGTACTGTGGAATTCATAGAATTTCCACCAGAAGGAGTCACGGAAGGTCCTATTTAACAGCTCCGGAAGCTGAGACCTAGAGAGGCAGTGACTGGATTAGGGTTACAAGATCGGCAGGGCCAGAAATACAAGCCACGTTTCCTGAAAGGCTGTCCCCCAGAGCGGAGCGCATTCCACTCCTGGGGGTCGGAGCAGGGACTCTGACTTCATGGGGGTTGCAGCCTTTGAAATTATAGACAGAAGTTCACACGTGTTTTTTTTAATAGTTTGTGAAGTTCACAAGGAGGTTTGTGAATTGCTCCACTGTATGACGTCTTCTCTAATAATCTGCTAAATTTCAACTTGAGTATTCTTACCTTTCTTCTCCTTTTATATTAAAATTTCCATATGGGCCTATCTCATGTTCTTTCCCTTTAGTTACAATGAAAATCAAGTGTGGTTACGTACGTATTACGCTTACTGTCTTGAGTGTCAGTCTCAACTGAAAAGTTAAGTTGATGTGAGTCCTTCTATACCTCTCCCGAAATAAGCTCATTGCTTCAATTCCTTGCTGCTCGGGCCATTTTGGGGTGAGACTTTGCACCGATTACAGTCTACTTGTGATTTTTACATTTGAGTTTTTTTTTTGGTTTGGTTTTTTTATGCAGAGGTAATTGGCATATAATCTGAGTTTCCAGGTCTACAGCCCAGATATTTCTGTGTATTGCAGAAGGCTCGCTGTACGGAGCCTTGTTAACTCCGTCACTCCTCGCGCCTCCCAGCACCCACAGGATCAGCCGCTGCAGTCGCCACCCTCCACGTTATGCCCATCACCTCCTGGTTTTCTGTCCCTGAAAGCTTGATGATCCATTTTGCTAAACTGAGTTGTTCTGTAAAAATAGATTCTGTGTTTTGAGGCAGGGTTCTGCATATAAGACATGTCTTTTGGAAGAGCTGACATCGTACAAGACCCCACCAGACAGTAACAGCTACTCAGGTCGCTTCTGGCCATTTCCCTCTTCTGTAACCCACCATTGTTTACTTAGGTCAGCGATGAGAGAGATTTTACCCATTCGTGATTTTAGTTTACAGCATGGATGTAACTGTGTTGGAAAGTCAACCATAAACAGCGTTCCTACGCTCTCGAGAAGTCTTAGCCCGGTCTCCCTGGAGCACCGCGGCTGCTCTTGCTGCCAGGTGGATGCGCAGTCGTGGGCCCCAGGTGCAGAGTCTAGAGGCTGCGCCCAGGACGGCGCAGTGGGTGTGGCTGAGTCCAGGAGGGGCACGTGAGAGCCAGAGGCTTGGACGGCCCCCGGCCCGACTGGCCACTGTACTCCTTTTTGTAATTCTCTGAACTAAAGCGAGTGGAGGGGGCGGGAGACCGGTGGTCGTTCAGCATCCAGGGCCTACCTCCCTGACACGCCAGGGCCTTGGTGATCCTGAGCTTCTCCAGTCCTCTGTGCCTTGTTTGTGACATGAGAAGAGTCAGCAGAGAGAACCGCGGGTGGCTCTGAGACGGACGGGACAGGAGGAGTGGGTGTGGGTGTGGGCCCGCCCCAGGGGCTGGCATGGACGTTCCTGCCCTGCCCGGATCTTTGCCAAGGTGCTGGAGTGTTTTTCGGCAATGTTTGGGCGTCTTTTGACGAAGAGTTTGGAGTTGACTCCTTAGCATGATAGAGGTGAGTCGGGCTCTCAGCTGTGACTTCCAGGCTGAGGGCCACTAGCACAGGGGACACTGGCCTGGGCGCTGCCGCCTGCAGCAAGGGTCTGTGCTTCAAGAATTTCAGCTCTTTGGAGTGTTGAGATAAAAGTGCTGAAGCATTTCGTTTGCCCAGAGAGGAAGTTGAAAGAATTGGTCCTCATAACTTCATCTCGTTTTCGGAATCAGCTCAGCAAGTCTCCCCTCAGCAAAGCCTGCAGTGCAGTGGCGCCATGGTTGCTTCCTCGCAGGTGACATTTTACTTCAGCCTTGTTAGCCTTTCTGTCATGGGCCCTTCTCTGCATTTTGCAGCTGAGACTCAGGGACTTATCTGCACAGTAGCTCACCCACGGCTGGGTCGAGCACGGCAGAGCTTTCCCTGCACGTCCATGGCACTCCCACGCCCTGTTCTTCCCCCCACAGAGCTTTGACAGGAGAGACTCGGGCAGCAGCCACTGGGAAGACACAGTGGGACGGGCAGCAGTTCACCCAGGGAGGGCGACAGGCTTCCCATTCCCAGTCAGCCGTGGCTTCTCCCAGGAGAGCGAGGCCTCGGCCCGCTAACTGCCACACCTGTCGCCGTCGCGGCTGTGACGGTGTCCTTGGTTCCTCAGACTGCCTTTCACACTTCGATTCCATAGCAGTGGAGTGAGCGGGCAGAATGGGTGCTGTCCCTGTTCTGTGATTGAGAGACGGAGGCCAGAGAGGAGACGGATGGGTCACAGGCTGCAGAGGAGCAGAAGCAGAGTCCAGTGGGCTGCCCGGGCTCAGGTGGCGCCGGTGTGTGCCGAGCCCAGCCAGCCTGGCCACACCTGCACTCACCTCCGCTGGACGGGCTGACGTTGCCTCTCCCAGGCGCTCTCCGTAGTTGCCAGGTTGCGCAGAAGCGCGTGCTCTTGAGCTGGTCCCGGGTCCGGAAGGAGAGCAGCTCCCCGGTGAGCTGAGTGTCTCTCACAAGGGCTGCTGCCCTCAAGTGTTCTGTCAACGGGGCTCGTTCTCGGGGCCCTCTGCGGGCGCTCGACGTGCAGCGACTCAGGAGCTGGTCGGCGGCAAAACAAGTGTGAGAGGCTGGCCCAGAGGGGGGTCCGCGAGTGTCCCCGGCCCATCCTGCCGGTGGGTGTTGTGTTTGGTAACAGGCTGGTCACTGAGCAGATCTGATGGTGATGAGACATCTTTTGGCGAGGGTGAGCTTTCAGCTGAAGGATTTTAGGACTTTTGGCTCAAAGGCCAAGAACTGAATTTTTTTGTTGTTAAAGCCACTCAGCTCTTCATCGCAGGGTTGTCCATTTTGGCAACATGCTGGAAAATCACCCAGTGCCCTTGCTCAGGATGATGCCTGTGCTCACAGGCAGAAGCACAGCACCGTGCAGTTTGCACCAGGCGCCTGTGGGCCCCCAGCGCCTTGGGACGGGCACCTCCTCTGGAGCCGAGCCGCGGCGCTCGAGCTCGGTGCGAGGCCCATGGACAGCTCCACTGCTCTGGACTTCCAGGCGGGTCGATTGTGCTGATGAGGTGGAGGTCCACCCCCGGCCACTGTTTGCACTCGGCTGCTGTGTAACGTTTAAGCTTCAGGACTTTGTTTTTCAAGAGTTGTGTAATCACACAGCTTAACCTGTGATAACAAATTCTCTATGGCAACAGCGTGTG